ACTCCTGCGCTTTATATTTAATTTTGTCTTCATTTTATTTATCTACACCGTAGTTTAACGTTTCTTCATAAATTCCCCTCATTTTGTTCTATGTTAACTAAAGATGTCAAGTCTGCAATATCATGATGCACCAAGATAGCGAATAGTGTAGCTGGTAATTTTGACATGTGTTTTACTATTTTTATCTTTCAGATGTTACTTGGATAATGACAGTTGACGTCGTTTCTCCGCCTTGCCGCAGAATGTTCGCAAATTTCATTTTTAAGGTGCTTCGCGGAAATTCTTCAATAACTTATAATTTAGCGTCTGAGGTTTGTATTCTGCAACTAACCTTTGCTTCACGTGAATATTCAGATTCCTTTCTACTGCTCCGAGAAGTTTGTGCTGCAGTTTCATTTAATGCTGCAATCCGGGATGTGTCGATAATTGATTGTGCCATTTGTTTCCCTTTGCCAATGTTTAACAATTATAATTATTTTTAATTCAAGTTTTCTTTTTCGATTGGTTGTGCGATTTGGTGTCACTTCTAATTTGGCCAATTGGTTTTGTTTTAATATTAATACATATTTTTATTTTTAATTTTCTCTTCCACCTTGTTAGGTTAACGGAAAAGGAAGTTTAAGGCAACAAAAAAATACACATACACATATACATTTACTTGTCACAGATTATAAATGTTAATATATTTTCCACTTGCAGATCTTTCTGTGCGTTGTGCTTTCTTTGAAGTTCGACCCAAGACTGAACCGATGGTGCGCAGAATATTGTGGTATATTGTAGAAAATCTTAAGTGCATTATTAGTGATTGTTTTTTTTATAGCAATTGACCGGAAATAGCTTTTTCTTGCTTATGTGGCTCTGTGTATTTTATGCTTGCGGTTATTTGCTCTAATTGAGCGCACTTTAAGTTGCGAGGTTGCTCAAGCGGTTGTGGCTGTGTAACCAGGCATTTTATCCCGTTGGACAACATGAGCTTTCAACTGAGTCCTTGATGTACAGTAGGTAAAGCTTGCATTCAGCTTTCTTTATCACTCCTTTTGCAGTGTGCGTTATGACCCAGTACTTTCCCACGATTAGCTCTATAATTCTTGCCATTGGCAGATATAGTGGGGGAAGATTTTCATCCTTAACAATGACTGGGACGTTGACGCAATGGCTTGGTTTCGCGGTGCGCCTTTTGAAGAGATGCTGAACCAAAATTAAAAAAGAGGGACTAAACTGTTTTTCCGCTGCCAGCGGATAGACGAATGAAGAGCTAAGCTGTATCCACCAATCAAGAAATAAGATGGAGTGAGTACATCGAGATCTACTGGATCTTCTGAAAGGGGAAGCAATCGCGTGGAGTCAATTATTGATGCGAAGCTTTTGAAGCCAATAGCACGATAAAAATGAATTTTTGTTGTCTTCACTGCGGCTTCCAAAGAACCGCTGAAATGCGGTGAACGAGGCGGAATATATTTCCAAGCAGTGGAGTGAGCCTTGCAAATCCTTTGAACTGAATCAATATGATTGTGACTAATAAACAGACACTTGAGGTACAGCAGCTTATTTTTGGTACCAACATGGTTGGCTATTGAAATCCACCTCTTGACAGATTTTTAACCAGGTCCAGGTGAACTGTTTTAGTCGCAAAGCAGACGAAAACAGCCATGTAGGATTTGACTAGAGCTTTATTTCGTTGTTTCCAATACAAACGTTTCTTATGAAGACCAGCCATTATATGCTTAACTAATCGGGCTGGACATCATCTCCAACGCCAATCGGTTAATACTGCAACCGAGTTCTTAGCGCTGAAATCAACGGTTTCCGCCCATGTTAGTCTTGCGGTGAGAATCTTGAAGCTACAAAATAAATTTTCGATTACTAAGCCTTGGGCCCGCATTTGCAACCTACGATCGTATTAAATAAATTCACACAAAGCTCTTTAAAAGTGATTTGGAACCCGATTGAATGGTAAGCATACATTCATTACATACATTGTACATCTTTGACCCCCATTTCCACCAAGGAAGAATGCATTTTTTTAAATATATAAAACACCCCTAAAATGAATTCGAACATCAATATTTAAATTTGAGCTTGAGGCCGATCGGATGGCTTTCACACATGAACACGTGACACCGATTCTCACTTTGGCCTTCAGTAAAAGTATATCTCGTGGTCGTTTAAGATTCCATAAATGACCTACGCTATGAAATATCATGTTAGAATAAGAAGTAGCAAGGGTGAGGAAAAGACACAATATTTTATGATCATTGATGCCAATAATGCATTGACGAGCTTGGATTTGTAAGAATAAAATCAGTATTGTGCAAGTACTCAAACGGCAAGTATTTTGAAGGTATTTTACAAATGACAACGGCACACCGATCAAAAAGATGTTTTGAGCAGCCCAAAAGACCAGATTGGCAGAGCCCTGCAGAAGAGGATCAAGCACCATCCAAAGGGCAAAACTCTTAGAGAAGGTGACACACCGCTTATACCGACTGGGCTTCTAAAAGAAACGTCGGAAAAGCAAGAAGAGGTCCGAGTAACTAAACAACGCCTACATCCCACATCAAAAGGCAACGAAGTCCAGTAAAACCAACATCGTGGCGTTTATTTAAGGACGATGCGAAACAAGTAGCGCTTATCAGAAAGCGCTACAAAAAATGAGAGAAGAAGGACCGCAATCAAGAGCAAAGCCCTTGTCCATAAAGAAAGATTGGGCAAGGCAACCGGCGGTCAAAGCAGCAAAATCGGCGCGGAAAGCAGAGGAAAAAAACCAGTGGCTATACCATATGCCAAGGCCCCTAAGAGACGAGGAGGCCAAAGGATGAAACTCCAAACGCAAAGAAGAGAACTACTGGACCAGGTAAATAAAAATTCTCTTCCACAAATCTGTGGCGGAAAATAGATGAAATTGAATATCAAATAATATATTAAATTATTAAAAAAAAAAAATGACAGTGCGCACTAATGCGAAAACGGCGTCAAGATCGCCTCGCAATGAAAATATATATACAAGATTTACAAGATTAAAAATATTTACAAACCGCCCTTTGAATTAAATTATTTATAAAATAAATTTAAAAAATAAATTAAAATTATAACTTTTTATTAGAAAAACGATGTCAGATATAACCATAGAATTTTCGACTACGCAGTCGCAATTAGTGTGGGCAGGATAAGGAAAATAGACGGTGGTTAATAGGGCGAGCTAGAGAGGTAGGAGAACTGTAAAGGCAGTTTCAGGTCAATCATAGCGTATTGTGTTAAATTAGAGTAGTGGATCATGACTACTTCGGTGTGATAATGCCAGTTATGCCAGGTAGCTTAAATAGCAAAACAACAGAAAAGAGGGCGAAACCAGTTCGCCAAGATAGGACTAAATCAGAGCCAATAGAGAGGAAAGCCAATGATTTTGATATCAGATAGATATGTTGATCACATTTTCAGAGGAAACGCAGTTAGGCACAGGGAAAACAATAGTAAAATGGTTAGGATGAGAAAGAAAATATTGTATTCCTTGGAGTGAAATAGAAAAAGAAATATTGTTGTGAAAGAGTTTGAAAGCGATATTACCTTCAGTAGGAAGGTTAGAAATATAGAATTCGATGAACAAAAAACGGTAGAATAACTATCAGAACACATTCAAGAAAGTTGTCAAACAAAAATGGTGGGCTACCAATTAAAAAAAGGGAGCTACCAATACCCCTGGAAATGCAGGTACCCACCTTTTATAGGGACCCCAAAGAGTAAGATCTCCTTGCAAAGTTATTTACAGAGTTCGTTCAATCAAGAGAGGCAGCTGTTAACTTTAACTATTTAAGAACGGCACTAAAAGGAGATGCAAGATGCATGGTGCCGCGTTTGCTAATAGGCTTCAGTAAAAATTTGAACGCAATTTGGAAATTATTAACCAGGCGTCATGAACACAAACGGAAAATATTTTCCGAACAACCAAATAGGCTCATAGATTAATTAATTCATTTCATATAATTGAAACGGTCTTACCAGAATACGTTGATGTCATTTTTGCACACATGATTATTTGCAAGTTTAATAGAGGAACTTTGCAATTATCTAAAAAAATTATGTGAAAAGAACAAAAGAAGATCAAAAATTGTCCGATGTAATGGAGTACTTAGAGCAAAGGTTAAATGCTCTAGGCTCATTGAAGGATGAGGAGAAGAAACCGAAGCCCAATAGGGACTTTTCTAAAAATTGGACAATTCGCAAAGTAGCAGGGCATTATGCATTACAATGTTTTAAATTTAGAGGCATGAGCCAGTAGAAAGGGCAGAAGTTGCAAGAAAAGCAAAATGATGCTTAATGGGCTTAAATTATGCAAAATGCAACAAATCCTACTTATCACACCATGCTTCACTTGGACAAAAACAAAACAGTGAACACATGCGTGGCTGAAAGGCTATTAGCAATTGTAATGTTAAAATCAACTACATAGTGTGGCCATAAGTAGTAATTAGCGTTGGTATATACATATAGATTCAACACACAAAAAAAAATATTTAAATATATATTCGGAAAAGAAAAACATTTTTATATCATTAAATAAAAGTGCAGCCGTTTTGCAACCAACAATATTTAAGCACACTGAGATTCTTATATATGAATATAATGAAATCATGAATTTAGTTAACGAGTGGCAAAAAAACTGACAAGTTTACACAGAGTCCAAACTTCAGACGTTTTACAACGTCTAAGGGATAATATAGTGAACCTAAAAAAGTATGATTTCAAGCTTTATTTACCAATTGCACTTAACACAACGGTAACGTTCGATCAGTAACTTTTGCCAAAGTCAACAAAAACCGACCAAGACGAAGAGATTTAAATAGAAACCATGGCTTAAACAGTTGTAGAGTTCTTAAAACTGGCCTAATCGATGGAAGGGCAGAGAAAATACAAAGTTTCAAAGATGGATTGGATCTACTTGAAAGGTAGCTCGGAAACCTAACAGGTCCCTTTTAAGTACTCAAAATTAATAAAAACAAGAGTTCACACCATTAATCTTAATTTAATCGTAAAAAGCATTCTGATCAATTTTTAAATGTTGATCATGATAATATAACGCAAATTACAGGTTCAATAAGCTCATTAGGGTTAGCGATCCTCGAAATGCGAACTTCTAACTTCATTATGCCTCATAATTTCCATATCGTAGAAATTGATTTTCCGATCCCTGTAGACGAAATAATTAGAATAGATTACATAAAATAATTCAATTGTCAATAGGATTTCGCTACAGAAAGTGACTGTCTAATTTTAAGACTCAATAATATTGCATATCCTATACAAAAACCAATTTTCCATAGTATCAAAAACAACGAGGTAATTATACTATCACGTTCTGAAGTAATACTTAATGTAGATACTAAATATAACCAAATCCTAATACATAATCAGGAGATAAAAGATATTTGTTGGTAATTCAATTGCAGAAATCCTTACCGGATTTAACGGAGAAAGGATAACGTTTAGTAATAGACTATCGTCAAATTAAAGAAGTAAAAGGTTCCAGTCGGGAGCTCCCGACTAGGGGATACCCTGAACCCTCTTCTTCCAACATCAATTATAAGAGTATATTAAGATGCTGCTCTTATCAGTTGCGAGGACGCTCCAGTTGTTTTGGCTGCGTAACCAGACATTCTCCCCCCGTTGGAAGGCATGGGCTTTCAACAGATTCCCTGATGGGCAATAGGCATAGCTTGTTTGCAGCTCTTCTCGTTTCTCCTGATGCGGTGTGCAAAATGGCTACTCGAGCGACTCCATCCTTTCCCACGATTAACTCTGTGATTCTCGCCAGTGGCCACCTTAGAGGCGGCAGATTTTCATCCTTTACGAGGACTATGTCGTTAACGCATAGGCCTGGTTTCGGAGTACGCCATTTGGAGCGCTGCTGAAGCAGTGATAAGTATTCTTCACGCCAGCGAGACCAAAACAGTTGCTGGAGGTACGTTACACGTTGCCAACCATTCAGACGATTGAATTGAAGGTGCGTCACATCAGGTTCAAAGAACGATGAGCTGGGTCCACCAATCAAGAAATGAGCTGGAGTGAGCACATCTAGATTTGCTGGATCTTCTGAAAGAGGAAACAATGGCCTGGATTTAATTATCGATGCTATGTGGCAGACTAGGGTGCGAAACTCTTCGAAGTTGAGAACACAAGATCCAACAGCACGATAAAAATGATGTTTCGCTGTCTTCACTGCTGCTTCCCCAAGGCCGCCAAAATGCGGTGAACGCGGAGGTATAAATTTCCAATCAATGGAATCAGTCATGCAAAAATTATGCACTGACTCAATATGATTACGACTTATGAATAGACGCTTGAGATCCACAAGCTCGTTTTTGGCGCCGACAAAGTTGGTAGCGTTATCCGACCATATCTGAGATGGCCTGCCTCGAGTCGATATAAACCTCTTAAGGGCATTCAAGAAAAAAGCTGTCGACAGATCCTTGACCAGTTCCAGGTGAACCGCCTTAGTCGCGAAGCATACGAAGACAGCCATGTAACATTTGACTGGAGCTTTATTTCGTACGTCTGGCTTATAGAAAAATGGTCCACAATAGTCAACACCAGAGACTTCAAAGGCTCGTCAAGCAGTCAAACGTTCTTTGGGCAGATCACCCATTATATGCTCTATTAATCGAGGCTTGGCACGAAAGCATCTCACACATTTTCCAACCACCTTGGATACGGTCTTCCTTCCACTAATCGGCCAATACTGCAACCGAATATGAGCAAGAAGTGCCCGTGGACCAGCGTGTAAGTCCCGATTGTGAAACCGTGTGATGACTGAGTTTGTGATGGGGTGGTGACACGGTAGAATTATTGGATGGCGAGCGTCGAAATCCAGCGAAGAGTTTTTCAAGCGCCCATCAACTCTAAGAATTCCGAAATCATCCAAAAAAGAGTTAAGTGATGCGATATAACTGGACGGTTTAACAACTCTTCTCGATTGCAATGATTTGATCTCTTCCCACAGGTGTGCTCTCTGGACGAGCCTTAGTAAGAGTTGGGACCCATGTTGTATATCAGACACTGTTAGTCCAGGATGCCTGCTTCTGTGTATGAATTTATAAATATATCCGAATATACGCTGCATTGTATCAAATGAGTTGACGTATTTACAAGTGACAGTTATATCAACGAAGGGAGATGACGCAATAAGGACCCTTTTTTTAAGTTCGAGTTCTGTTTTTTCTGACAAGCAAGAAGCAGGCCAGTCCAATTTGTTTTTAACTAGAAGTTCTGGGCCGTTGAACCACAGTGACGATTGATCTAATTCACTGGGCGTAGATCCTCTCGAGAGTATATCTGCCGGGTTGAGTGAAGTAGGCATGTGACGCCATTCCATGCCATTAGTTAGCTCTTGAACTGCTGTGACGCGATTAGCCACAAACACATTGAGCTTGCAGGGCTCGGACCTTATCCACGAAAGGCATACAGAAAAATCCGACCAACAGTAGAATTTTCAATCGAACAGATTCATTTTAGATATCTCACGCATGAGATTAGATAATAAGACGGCACCACAGAGCTCTAGCTTTGGAACTGTGATTGTTTTCAGAGGAGCTACACGCGATTTGGAACACAACAGCTGACAACTGGCTGATGTTCGTCGAGAAAGGACGTAGGCATAGGCCCCATATGCTTCGATGCTGACGTCGCAGAAACCGTGAACTCTAACTCTGCTGCAGGTATTGACACGAGACGAGGAAATTTAAGAAACTGTGCCTTCTCAAAACTGCAGCAAAGATCATGCCAAGCTGTTGCCAGTGATGATGGCAAGCTCTCGTCTCACTCAAGCTTCTCCTTCCAGATCTGCTGCATAAAGATTTTAGCCTTGGCAATTACCGGCCCTATGAGTCCAAGCGGGTCATACAAGCGAGCTATGGTCGATAGTATTGACCTTTTGGATGGTTTAGATCTCTGCTGAATGGACGAAAACAAAAACAACAATCGATCCGACGCTGAGTCGTAAGCGAGTCCAAGAGTTTTGGTGATGTCGCTACCATCATCAAACTTTAGGGAAGATTCTCTGTCCTCTACGGGTATCCCATTCAGTACAGCAGAATTGTTTGAGCACCACTTTCGCAACTTGAAGCCCCCACTTGCCAAGATTCCAGCCGTCTGATTAAGAAGTTCCTTTGCTTCTTGAATTGAATCACCTCCTGAAATGAGGTCATTAACGTAGAAGTCACGCCGCAAAATCCGAGATCCAATTGGAATATTAGTTTCCTCATCCATAGACAGCTGATGCATAGCACGGATAGAGAGGAATGAAGCTGGCTTTGTTCCGTATGTAACTGTAACCAGCTTAAAAATCTTTATATCCTGTTCTGGCGAGTCTCGCCACAGAATGCATTGGAGAAAATCATCCGGTGCTGAAACGCGTGAAACGCAGCGATACATTTTTCTAATATCTCCTGTTAGGGCGATCGGGAAATTACGAAAGCGTAAAGGATATGAAACAGCGAGCTTCGAATAACAGGTCCAGCCATCAATAGTTCATTTAATGAATAGCCTGACGACGTAGCTGCTGAGCCGTCGAAAACGACTCGCAATTTTGTCGTTGAACTGTCTTCTTTAAAGACACAGTGACGAGGAAAAAAGTATTGACAAAGTCCTATAGACTCTGGAGCAACAGGCGACATATGACCAAGATCCAAATATTCCTTTAGAAAGTTTGAATACTGAATCTTCAGATCTGGACGATTTTGTAGTTTGCGTTCAGGGTCAGGAAACGACGAAAGGCTTGTTGGTATGACGTCCCCAGACATTCCAAACTTCGCTTGAAGGGTAAACGAACTGAATATTGGCCACTAGGCAATCTGATATGAGTCTTTACGAAATGTTCTTCACAGATGTTTTCCAAGCAGGATTCTATCTCCCAAAATCTTCGAACCAATTCATCAGCACGTTCTTCAGAACTTGACTCAAGTTTGCCCGCAGTATGCTTTGCCATTAACATAGAACCACTCAAGCGGGGTCCGTGCCAGAAACTACCCAACCAAGCCGTGTTTTTTGAAGACACGGTAATCCTGGGAGAAGCCTTATCTGGCCGACGCTGAGAAGGTCGTAAAACAGGCTAGCTCAAAGTAGCAAGTCCACGCGTTGAGGTTTAAAGAAAGACGGATCTGCAAGTTTTATGTTATCGGGAATATTCCAATTCTTCGTGTTGATAGTAAAACTCGGTTGACTATCAGTTATGTTAGGCGCTACCAGAACTGTAAGGCATGTTGAGTATTCAGAGACTTGAGACTGTATTGTGATAGTGACCATGTTTCCTTCTGTTTCAAAACGAGAATCTCCTAGACCAGAGACAATGGCTGACTTGTGCTTCTTTAGCTGAAGCTGTTGAGCAAGGCGCGACGTTATAAGGTGAAGCTGAGAACTAGAATCCAAAAGGGCACGACAAGGTATCAAAGTGCCGAGCAATTCCTTACAAAGATCAAAGCCGTAGCCAAGACGACAACATCACTACTGAAATACTGGGCAACAAGATATGTGGAGGTAGATGGCGATGACTTAGCGAAAGAGGCATGGGCTATCGGCGATGAATTTGCAGGCTCAGTCAGCTGACCACACGGAAATACGGAATTGTTTAAATGCAGCAGAGAATGATGTTTCGCCCCGCAGGTCCAACACCATCCAGAGCTGCATGATCGCAATTGATGACCTTTCTTTAGGCAATTCAAGCACAATGCAACTCGTTTTGCCTCCCTTAGCCGTAATGCAGGGGTCAAATCTCCAAATCGAGAACAATTATATATACTATGACCAGGGCTGTCACAAAAGACTCAGACAGGGGCGTCGTGGTTAATGGCGATAAATGACGATCTACTGGTGTTAATTGCTCTAGGTTTTCCCACCTGATGGCTAGGGGCATAGCTTGCCATAGCAAAATTTACGGTTTCCATTGTTCGGCATCTCTGCTTCAGAAACGTAGCCATATGCTCCCACGATGGTATTAAATTAACGAACGACGAATCCTCTAGCCTTTCTTCCCATTTGGCTTGTGATATTGGGTCCAGCTTTTGTAAAATAATCTGCACAATGATGCATCCAGCGATTTGTTCGGAGTTGCCCATGCTCGTTAACGCGCGAAAATGTGCGTTGAATTGGTCGGATAACTCCCTTAGCGACACGGCCGATCCACCTGCCACCCTCTTGAGCCCCAATATCTCAAGTATGTGTGCCTGAAAAACCAAACGTCTATTATTAAACCTTTTCTCCAATAAATTAAGTGCTATGGCATAAATATGGTTTGTTATTTCCAATGATCGAATCGCGTCCAGCGCTGTATCCTTCAGGCACGATCGAAGATGCTGCAGATTTTCGATATCTGCTAGATCAGGATGATTTTCTATGACGGTTGTGAACATAAAATAAAAGTCGGCCCATTCTGTGTAACCACCACTGAACGTAGGCAACTTTATTGAGGGTAGTGTTGGCGGTGCCTTAGCTCTAACTGTCTGCGAGGGCAGCACAGATTGGTCGCGAAATGTTGAGCAGGGCAATATT